CCTTCTTTCTGAAGATTGTAATCTCTAATTGTATGCGCTATCCCAGGGAGGTGTGCCCCTGTTCTATAAACAGCGCCCCTCACGATGAAGTAAGACGCTTTTGCCTAACGCACAGGCTCCACGGTAGGGAAGATTTTGACTAGGTTAAAACTGAAAATAAAAAAAAATGTACTAATGAATTTGGTCCGCTTTCATCTGGTCTGCATGAATATCCTTTAAATCCTATTTAAAATGTATGCGGACGAATTTAAGGCACATCGACCGGAAAGGCGGCTCTCATATCAATATGCGTGGACGCATGCCCATAAACAGATACGGCTAGATGTGTGGTGAACTTGCCGAAAATATGCCTGATAAAGCTCACGAGGAGACTTACCCAACAGTACCAGTTAGTTAGAGTAAATTGCAAAAAACCACCACAATTGGGGACTCTAATTCAAAAAACCGCCACCATTCGTTTTTTTTTTTCAAAAACCCATCACCATTGTGGTGATAGTTTTCAAAAAATGTTGATAACTGAATTAGAGACGTTTGACAAAAAACTGACAGCTGGGTCCCACATGCAAGTGATGATATGGCAAGGAAAATTGACACCGTCTGCATGGACTGTTAATTTGACATGGGTCCACCCGATTAAGATAGGACTGCATCAGGGGTCAGCTTTGAGCCCTTATCTTTTTGCTTTGGTGATGGATGAGGTCACAAGGGGTATACAAGGAGATATCCCATGGTGTATGCTCTTGGCGGATGATGTGGTGCTAGTTGACGATAGTCGGACGGGGGTAAATAGGAAGTTAGAGTTATGGAGACAAACCTTGGAATCGAAAGGGTTTAGGCTTAGTAGAACTAAAACCGAGTACATGATGTGCGGTTTCAGTACTACTAGCTGTGAGGAGGAGGAGGTTAGCCTTGATGGCCAGGTGGTACCTCGGAAGGACACCTTTCGGTATTTGGGGTCAATGTTGCAGGAGGATGGGGGTATTGATGAAGATGTGAACCATCGAATCAAAGCCGGATGAATGAAGTGGCGCCAAGCTTCTGGCATTCTCTGTGACAAGAGAGTGCCACAAAAGCTAAAAGGCAAGTTCTACAGGACGGCGGTTCGACCCGCAATGTTGTATGGCGCGGAGTGTTGGCCGACTAAAGGGCGACATGTTCAACAGTTAGGTGTGGCGGAGATGCGTATGTTGAGATGGATGTGTGGCCACACGAGGAAGGATCGAGTCCGGAATGATGATATACGAGATAGAGTTGGGGTAGCACCAATTGAGGAGAAGCTTGTCCAACATCGTTTGAGATGGTTTGGGCATATTCAGCGCAGGCCTCCAGAAGCTCCAGTGCATAGCGGACGGCTAAAGCGTGCGGAGAATGTTAAGAGAGGGCAGGGTCGACCGATTTTGACAAGGGAGGAGTCCGTTAAGAGAGACCTGAAGGATTGGAGTATCGACAAAGAGCTAGCTATGGACAGGGGTGCGTGGAAGCTTGCTATCCATGTGCCAGAGCCATGAGTTGGTTGCGAGATCTTATGGGTTTCACCTCTAGCCTACCTCAACATGTTTGGGACTAAAGGCTTTGTTGTTGTTGTCCACTTGTCAGCATCTCCTATCTCTCTAAATCCCTTTCTCTGGCATTCCACCGAGCAGTTCGTGAGCTCGCCGGAGAGCTCGTTGCCGGTAGCATCCGGACCAAGGAGGCATGTTCAGGAGACCAGCGGACGGCGGCAAGCGGAGGAAACAGGGGGTGGCTGGCACAGCCGGTGAAGTGGCTGGTCGTGGCCGAGCCGGGGGCCGCTGTCCGGCAGGACGCGGTGGGCGCGCGTGGAGCTGTGCACAGCTGCGTCCATCACCGTCCCCCGTCAGTGCCAGCCGCTGCTTCCAGTCATGCCCATCGGAGTGGCGCCGTGCTGGATCTCCTCATGCCCAGGAGCTAGCCCACGATGCCGGCGAGGTCACAAGCTGAAGGTGCTGGATCCGGCGGGTGGAATGCCCGTTAGCACATGGGTGGTGGCGGTCGTGGAGCGACGGGGGAGATTGCTCCCTGGGCGGCGCAAGGGGCCGGCGCCGCTTGGATCCGTCGCCGAGCGGCGCATGGAAGCCGGCGGTGCTCGAATCCGTCGCCGGGATGTGGAAATTGGCGGCGGTCGTGGAGCGACGGGGGAGTTGCGGCGCGGGAGATTGCTCCCTGGGCGGCGCAAGGGGCCGGCGTCGCTTGGATCCGTCGCCGGGCAGCGCATGGAAGCCGGCGGTGCTCGAATCCGTCGCCGGGATGTGGAAATTGGCGGCGGTCGTGGAGTGACGGGGGAGTTGCGGCGCGGGAGATTGCTCCCTGGGCGGCGCGCCGCCAGGCTGCGGCGGCTTGTCGTCGATGGGGCTGCTCCATGTGGCTGCGCGGGTACGTCTCCGACGACCCCCGCCGGCGGTGGGATGTTGGACGGCATCGGGTGGGGAGAGATGCGTGAGGTGGGGGTGGGCTGGTTATGTTAGTAACGTCGTTATCTCAGTCCTGGCAACGTGGCATCTGACTGTGGGATCCAGCGGTCAGTTTTTTTTGTCAAACGTCTCTAATTTAGTGATCAGTGTTTTTTGAAAACTGTCACCATAATGTAGGTGGTTTTTTGAAAAAAAAAACGAATGGTGGCGGTTTTCTAAATTAGGGTCCTCAATTATGATGGTTTTTTGCAATTTACTCCAGCTAGTTACGAAATGATGACACGTGCATCCTATTTCCTGTTCTCTCCTTCACAAAGCAAAAACATGTGCATGCACGACACTTGCACTTGCCCGAGGCTTTCCAACTAACCGCAAGTTTAGCTTGCAAACTACGGCGCCATGATGCAAGACCCAAGAAAAGAACACATACAGCTCCAAATCCTGCCCTCCCTAAAAACCTTTATTTAATAACCATCTATAGTAGTAAACACATGGAAACTCGGTAGTGCTAGCATACCTTTTCCAATCCAAACGAACAAGAAAAATATACACACGAAGCTCACCTTTCTCCTGTTCGATGATGGACGCAGGGTCAGAGGCGCGATGCCCGTTTGACTCACCCGCGCTCGTCGGGACTCCCCCAGCCACGCCTCCTTGTGCGGTTGTGCTCACATCCACCACGCTGACAACCCGGGCCCACATACGCGCGGACCCCACCCGCCTGTACGTCAGGTCATCCATCTCGGTAGGCGACGAGAAGAGACCAGGCCAAGCCAAGGCCTCTACCCTTCCTTCCTCGAGACCAGGGAACGGTCCGGCGGGGCGGGCGGGACACCGACGCGTGGGCCCGCGAGGCCGCACGCCCCGGAAGAGACACGCGCACCAGGAGGGGCCACAGGCGCAGCGGGCGCAGGAAATCCGCCCCCATCGGAGCGAGTGAAAGGGGAGCGAGCGTGGGAGTGACCCGAGGGGCGAGCAGAGGAGAAGACCCTCGGCTCGGCGCACGCAGTCACACACTAGCAGACAGCGGCAGCCGCAGCAGTGGAGAGAGAGGAGTGAGAAGAAGAAGAAGAACAAGAACAGGAGAGAAGACCCGGAGGAGAGAGAGAGAGAGAGAGAGAGAGATAGGTAAGAGATTTTTTCTTCCCTGCCCTGCAATGGCGTGCCTTCGATCCGCTCTTTCGGTTCTTGCCCTCGCGGAAACCACCGCGTGTTCTTGTACATATCCGTGAGGAAAGAGGGGAGGGGAGGGGGGGAGGAGATATTTTTTACCCCATTTCATTCGGTGAATGTAGGAGTAGTAGTGGGCGGAGAGGCCGAGGGATTTGGCATTGGATGCCGCCATGTTCTCCATGGTTTGTTGAGCAGGAGCAGTTAGTACCCAAGACCCAAGTGCAAGAAAAGTTTACGCTTTCTTTTTTAGCATCTATACTTTGCAGTTTGCTCAGGATTTTATTAGATGCTTTGATCTGTTTTACTATGTGTTTTTCTTTGGAACAAGTTCTTCTCCTTTCTGAATCTCTCTTCACCCCCTTTCCTTGTTCTTGCCGGGCAGTACAAACCCACGAATAAATGGCCCTCCCAGTACTGTTACGGCTTGTACAACATCCGTGCTCTAATCCGCTATCAATCCGTTGCAAGTTTCCACTACCACTAGAAATCTGCACAGTGCTTCAATGCCAATCATCCTTTTGAGCAAATGTTTATCCTCCTCCTCCTGCTGCACTTGTTCTTCCCCATCAATGCATTCCTCCACTCCACTCAACCTGCAACAGCAGGATCTACTACTAGTCTACGCCCATTGGGGACAGATTCATAATAACAACGCCTCATTATCACCACAGTCAAAAGGGCCTTCTC